ATTCCGTTCCAACCTCATCTAACGGTGCCATGGACACAATCACCTGTGTATGCAAGCTACAGGGGCATCAGCTGAGATAGAATCTTGGCTGACCCGAAATGGAAATCCTATTTCTCAACATACAAGCACTTGCGTCCCATATATCATTTTGGGCCTGGGTGCTATTCATATCAAAGATTATTGAGCACGACCTGCAGAGCAGCGGTGTTAGAATCCTCCCTGCGAGAAACATAAGCCCGGACTTCCTGAACACTGAGGCCTGTATCCTCTTGAGTGGGACCTCCAATGCCGCGTCCTGGGCCTGTAGTGGCGTTACCATTACCAGTATTTCCGCCGGCAGCGCTGACTGCGCCCCCACGTATCCGCTCCTGCAATGCTTCAGAGCCAATGACGAAAAGGTTTCCGACTTCTAGTAGAACATCTAGCGCACCACCCGGGCATTTTACCCGCTCCTCAATATCCCAGCTTTTCAAAAGATCGGTATACTGTGTCATATCCTTGGTTACAATGAGACCTCCTGGCCCATTCACAACAAACCGCTTGAAATGTTCAAGGAGAAGACTTCTTGTTCCAAGGGCAATCTCCGTAAGCAACTGGCGGAGATTAGAGCCACTAGGTGGTAGCGAGCCCTTGAGAACGTTATGCGCACGAGCCAAGAAGGCACAAATTGACGCACATGTCTGAGATCGATTAGTACACGTCCTGAGAGCACTTGAGGTAACGGGCTTGTGGGAAAGGCATAGCGCAGTGACTGACCGGTGTTTGTAGTCTCTCTAACCAAGTCGCATTGTCACCCTCCTTTGGTCGAAAGTCATTTTTCTTCTGACCAGAAAGAAGTTTGTTCACCCAGGCTAAGGTTGCGTCAATAACCTTCTGCTCTGTGGAATTTATCTTCTCCTCAATTCTTAATGTTATCAGGTTCGTTTTTTTCTCCATTTCTCGGCGAATTGTGATACTGCCTGCGGCAAGAGGGATAAGCAATGTGTTAATGCACATGACCATTAAGTTGGCGACACTGATAGCGTTCCGAATGGCCGGTATATACCCGAAATCAGGCTCAGTTCTGCCTGATTCCTGGGATGCGGCTACATCCAGAGCGGCGTCTAAGCAAACTTCAATATAGCCCTCTCCCATCATCGCGAGAAGAAGGCTCAGAAGAGCAAGCATATCCTTGGGCGTCTCGCTAGTCATGCTAAGCTCTAGGCCTCTACCAACTGCTTCAGCAAGCCATTTGAGCATTCTCTTTGCATGAGCAATGTTGGGGAGACCATCATCTTCTGTAAGCTTGATGTCTGTGGGTTTACTGGGATCAGTGGCTTCCCTTAGCCCCGCCAATCGGAGTAAGAGCATCTTCTGTGTTGCAGGAAGCTCGGAGGACTCAAGGCGTGCAATATGTGCATCTCTTGCGGAGACAAGAACCTCCGTGCCTGCTTTGGAGAGAGATGCCATAAACGTTGTCACCGCTTTCTTCCTGCGAGCGTGGAAAGTGGTGAACCTGAATTGTAAGGAGGTGTATAATTCTTCCAAATTCCTTCTCTCTCTTTCTATGTAAGATGAACCCACAAAATAGGGCACAAACAGATCCTCCAGTTGCTGATCGAGAATGAGGGCTGTCTGTGACGAGATAGGGTCGGGATGTTCAGTCAATCCATGAGCTTTCAAGTCATCGACTAAGGCGCTTAGATAACTGCGAGAACTTTGTAGAGAACGTAGAAATGCTAGTGATGAAACGCTGTTCGCCTTATCCAAGACCATCTCGAGTCTTTGTTGAATCGACTGCTGGAAAACTCGCTGCAGGAACTTTCCGAGTACTTGTTCGTAGTACGGGAAGGCCCTTTTGATGATCGCGGACTCTTCTTGCACCACAACTTTGACTTCATCAATGAGTGACTGTAGGCTGGGCTCCACTTTTGACGGTTCAGCGTCGGGATCTGCAAGCATTTCCCAGGCTTCTGGATCTCCTCCGACTTCTTCGGTCACAAGCTGGCTGCGGTCAATAAAGAACTGATGTTGGTTCACAAACAAAGCAATCACACTTGCACCACCATTGAAATCTTGGAGTAATGTTGCGCAATCCTTCATGCCTTCAAAATTAGCTTTCCTGTAGAAGTCATCGAATTGCTTCAACAAGTCATTCTCTAGCGTCTCGGAGAACTTCTCAATAATTTCTCGCGTATTTGGCCGAATGACATTGCCCTTTGTGCTCCCGGACTCATCTGCTATAGTTCCATTTGCGTGGGACCCGTTATGTCTTCCCGCTACTTCACTCCAACTCTCAGTGTCAAGTCGCTGGCTGATTCTGAGCAACTGGCGCGCAATCTGTGCCGATCGAACCTTGGCCTCACCTGTTCCTGACCTTCTCAAATTCTCCAAAAGGGTTAACTCCCCTCTGTTGCTCACACCATCCCAGCATTCGAGGAGGAAGTGTGCGTCAAGCGCCCGACGCCTTTGACGATCTAATTCCTCGAGCTTACGTCCTGTCTCGACAGCCATATTGCCTGTGCTCTCGGAAAGCTCTCCTCCAGATCCATTGAGCGACGTATCGAGTTGCTGGAAAGATTCGATGGTTTGACTTAGTTTTCGTCCTAGGGTGTTCAGATTCTGAGTATGCTGTGCCTCTGCCCTGCGGACTGCAGCAGATAATTCATTTTCTCTTATCTCGAGGTCGCCTGATATATCACCTAGTCGCCGCTGCGCATGCTCAAACGTCCGAATCAGCGGTTTGGGGTCAAACGGCTGGCTTCCACCTCCTGATGCTCCTGCAGGTCGCCGAGTGTTTACTGCATTTTCGGAAAGAGATTCAATAAACTCCTTCACGATGAAATCACGGCTAGAGAAGTCTTCGAGTGTGAAGCCGGGACCTTGAGGGAATACCGGACGGGACACAGCATTGGGAAGGGGATTTGTTGACACATCGTCCGGCATATTCTGGTCTGTCGTCGGGATCCTCCCACATTGGCATTAGCTTTATGCTGGTAGAGGAGTTGCGATCATTGACTTAGCAGTCCAGGGACAAACTGTATCTGCGGCTCGAGTGCAGCCACGGGACGTGCGGAGTACGGAGTAGACGAGGTAGCTTGCTTCCTCGTAACAGTGATGGACAGCCTCGCCCCGCAGTTGATTACATAAACGATAATCTTGAGCCATAGTCACATGTACGTGTATTTGTTCTATATGACCACCTCGCGCTTGATTATCGTGTCTCGGGGCAAACAAACAGCGTATGTATTCCGCCTGTTCCTGCAGTCGTGTTGAGGCTTTGTTTCCCGGTTCCGCAACAACATCCAGATTACTCCGTACTGTATGGCTATCCAGAAGACGCTCACAGGTTTTTGTGGCAGGTTCACCATTAAGTTAACTAGCAGCCTGCAGGGCGCTTTACCCATTTTTGACCTCTCACCACCCGGCGCAATCACTTCGCACATTTCCATGTACATCTAAAAAAGAAAACATGGTCTCACAACATGACAGAGAGCTTTTCCGCAACGATGTACGCTCTCGAGGGACCAAGCTCAGTGCTGCTGACCGGGAAAACATTTTGAGGCCATATCTCCCAGACCCCTCTGACCTCCAACGACGGTCACCGCAGCGGCAGAACAAACCCCACCGAAGGGCTTCTGTACGAACTTTCGTCAAGGCACAAACCCATCGTATTGTATACACCTTCGTTCATATCATCTTTGGAATTATAATTCGGCTCCTTCAAAGCTACCATGCCACTGTGGACCGGATATGTGCAGTCATATATTATCACCATCGAACCCCTGAATTGATCAGGAAAGATGTGAAAGGCCTCAAGCGCCTACCCGAACACTTGAGTGTCATCCTGTCGCTTCGCAAGGAGGATGACGCCCTTAGCGTGTTGATGGACGAAGTTGCAGAGCTTGCAGCTTGGAGCGTGAGTGCCGGAATACCAGTGTTGAGTGTTTACGAAAAAAGCGGTAAGTAGACCCGGCCCTTGACGTCAATCTACAGAGCTAAGCCAGTGCTAAATGCTAATGAATTGGGCGATGAATTGGGCGACATCCGCAGGGGCTCTGAAATCCTGCATTCCTATACTTCACCAGGCTATCACAAACAAAATGTGTTCTTACTATGGCTCTCCTATTCAACAACCCCGGTTGCGCCTATTTGCGCCCCATCATCCTGTCTTTGACCAGCTGCCACAAGATGTTGCTAGTGATTGCAAGAATGGATCCTTGACGGTGCTTCTGCTCTCCGCCACTGATGGCAGGGAGACCTTTGTCGACCTGACTAAAACTTTGGCAGAGATGTCCCAGAGCGGAAAATTGTCACCCGAAGATATTACCTTAGAATTGGTCGATGCAGAAATTAGTGAGATTTCTACTCAGCCGACTCGGCCAAGTTCGCCAACCTCGAATGACAACAACAAGGCTTCGGACCAGTTCAGGTTTGTCGCAAAGCCTGAGCCCGACCTTCTGCTAGTATTCGGCGCCTTTCTAAAATTAGACGGATACCCTCCTTGGCACGTTCGACTGACCGAAATGTTTTGCACTGGCGGTAGAAGTAGCGGGACCAATACCTCTGAAGAAGCAGTCGAATACCATGGCTTTCTACGGGGACTCTGGCATTATGCTGGGGCTCAGATGAGGTTCGGCCGTTGAAAGTATTGAGAATGATTACGGGGTGGTCTGTGTATACACCAGCGCAACATCTAGATCTTTTTATCAGGTTCAAAGTCGTTATCAGTTTCTCATGACCAACCTCTTGCTGGAGGATCAATGCCCAAATAGACAAGACCAGAATAAGTCGGAAGGCGGAAGATCAGCCACATTCAGACTAAGATTACACTCTAGTTTTCTTTGTAAGATTTCTCGAGCCAGGTGGGCTGCTCCATAACAACCACTATTCCTAGGATTTCCAGGTGATCACTGGCCGAAAGATATATTCAATCGATGAAACTATTCATGATCAATGTTTGCGCTTCGCTCACATAGTTATTGATGCTTGCTTTCTGATCCTAGGCTCTCTCCCCCTGTTGTTCTATTCCAGGGTGGGAGATTCTTTTCATGTCTTGCTAGGAATCATCGCACCCCCTTCCTGCTTAAAGCCATCGGGCAAGACTATTCACGATGCCGAATTGCCTTGTTAGTGGTCTGCAGGTGATGCCTACTCATGCGTTCAACGCTGCTGTAAGCATCCTTGATAACCGGGACATTTGGGCAGGCCCCGCCTCCTCAGGGTTTTGTATGTGACAGTCATAATAGGCTCTCATTCAGCATCAGGGGCTCGTAGCGAGCGCCTTCAGTCGAATGAATAATTTGTGGCTTACATTCCCACTCTTGCTGCTTGCGTGGGCGCACAGCAAAGGGGCGCCTGATCTCACGAGACATCTTTATGAATCCAAGTCTTCTCCTACCCGGGTGGAATAGTTTGCCATCGAGGCGTCGTATTTAGCACACAATCAAGACACCTTGCCGCTACAGCACCTGTTTCATTCAGACCTTCAACTGCACACGATGAGCAAATTCTTCGTGATCGAGTCTGCCTCTTCATGCCACGACCATCCTCGTCTATAAAGCCTGAGGGCTTTACTGGCGTATTGATCGAGCCACTGCAGTCAACAGCATCACATGAACGGAGGCAAATATAACAGCTTCTTTGCGCACATATTTCGCAATTGGAATAGGCACCTAGAGTCTCCTTTGTTGTGGGCCGCCTATGACAAACATGACAGGGGAGTAAGCAGAAGGTTGACGGTTGGTGAGATTTTGGAGAGAGACTTTGGTAGGATACTTGGGAAGAGGAGATATGCGAGGTTGCAAGTGTTAGTGATTGCGTCGGTGACGATTGTTTCTGAAGCCGCTGTCTCTTCGCGAAAATCCGTTGACGTAAACCTTGTTCGTAACTATCTTCTGCGATATCCAGCAAATTGGCAGGGATTTGAGGGCTTATTTCATGAAAAGGCGGCAAGACTATTCTCTTGCTGCATACCAGAATTCCGCAGTCAGCCTTTTTTTCTCCTACACGGTACCAAAAGTGATGGCAGAATCCCAGTCCCGTAGGCAAATCTCGAAACCATACCTAGCAAGTACATCGTCACGGGTCCTTTTCTTCATGTTGGGTGTTAGGAGAGAAAAGTCGCCGGGCTCAGCTTGGATGTGTGGCATGGTAGATACTCGAATAGCATCAAGACTGGAATATAAGCTTCAATGGGGGGAGCATGTATGTGTTAGGTAATACCACCACCTATGCGAAGCAGGTCGCTGTTTAGCACTGAGAAACATAAAGTGGCCAAGTATACTGGAGGTCTAGAACCGGAGTGATGAAATTAAGAAGGTACGCAGTATTTGGTACTGCAGCTTTTCATAGTTCGAATATGTAAATTAGATGGCTGCTTTGTCAAAGGAAGGGTCACAGGGGTCACGGGTACGTACCAATTTTCCTCGACTCGATCGGGCCACTTCTCTTCCTGTACGACGGTACGTACTGCGTATGAATACCTACATTCCACACAGTCCATTAAGTTAACATGTCCAGGCTAACCCAACTCTGATAACTGCTATTGACACCGGTTGAATTTCTATTGCTACCGGAGCTAAGTCTTATACAGTAGGCGGTATAGGTTATACACACTTTATGCTACCGATACTATATTACAGAATACAGGTTTTTTACAATACAAGTCCTGTTATATTAGGGGTTAACGATATATTAGGGATTCTTGGGGTTCTTAGGGGTCGAAGGTATTGCTATCAGAATTCTTTAGAGAGTTTTGTTTCTATTCTTTATTAGGATTATTAGAGTATATCTCAATACTGGTATATATCAGTCCGTGTTTATACCCAGTATAAAGTGCGTATAGCTTCCACTGCCTACTGTATAAGACTTACCTTCGATAGCATTAGAATTACGGCCGGTGTCAACAGCAGTTATGAGTCCGGAGCAGAGCGTAACAGGGTTCGAAAACCCGGTCATATGCCGTACACTTACGTACAGTAAATGCGCAATAATACGAAGTTTCCAGTACACTGTTGTACTTGGCCTATACTTACATTGAATTCAGACATTGGCAGAGATGGTAAATCGCCTGGCTTAGTAGTGCTGATGCTGGGCTTGACACAGATAAATTGACAAGCTCTACGCAGTTCTAGACGTCTTAGATGAGGAATTAATTTGCGCCCGTACCGTACAAATAGAGAGAGATTCGAAACATATTGCTGACTAGGATGGCTTGCTCCAGCCGTAACTTAACTCAAGGTGCGAAGCAAGTAAAGTACAGTAGGTACGGCTGCTTGGCAGCCCACCTCCTGATTATCCCTCTTTCTACTTTTCAACCCCGACAGGATGTAAAACTTGAAACTCACCTCCTCGACCGAACGTCTTGAATAAACATACTGCTTAGTTCGAGCATCAATCAGGCTTTGATCAAATCCAGAGACTGAAGCACCACACAAAACAGTCTCGATGGAGAATAGCATATCGGAACTTGTGGAGAGGTTAGGGAGCGATGAAGATGGAGTGCGCAAAATGGCAGTTTTCAAGCTGCAGAGCAGCATTGGCGACCCTTCTTTTGCCGATATATTCATTGCGGAAGGCGGACTTGTCAGGCTGCGCTATCTGATCTTATATGCAACTGGTAACACATTGGCATATAGCCTAACAAGCTTCGCAAGACTACTAGAAGTCGATAAGGGCTGGGACTTCGTAGACCAGGAAGTGGTCGAAAGAGTAGGTGGCCCGATCAAGACCTTGTCAATGTATCGTCGAATATTTGTTGTACAATGACTGACTGGTAGTCATTGTATCTCAGGTTGTTGAGCTCATAGTGACACACCCCCTTGTCAATATCCTAAGGGGCGCTATGTCTATACTAGTGTCCATAGTGTCACACCCGCACGCAGGAGATGATATTACGCAGACTGGAGGCTTTGGATCTCGCGCGCTAAAGCCTGCAATTGCCATCTATCCGCAGTTCCTGGAGATGCTTGTCAGCAGACTATCCTCCGCAGACCATGCACTCTGCGCCAATGCATTGCAACTGATCAATTCACTCATGCGTGACTCCGTCACAAACGATACAGATTTAGAGTGGCCAAAATTCATTCAGAGGCTACAGGATCTGGGAGTCATACGGGCAGTATACTCCCTGATGCAAGGAAGTGCCATGCAGGACCACATACATCCACTGATCGAGTTTCAATATCTTACTAAAGTTCTTTTGCGGAAATGGCGAGACATTGCACTGGATCTGGAGAAGCCAGAACATAGAAGAGCGTTGAAGGGGATTTACGTGGCTAGTTCTTTGGAACGAAGTCGTGACAAGGGCACTGAAACCGGTGAGGATGTCCGTCGATCTAAACGCCATGACCCAGAAAAGTGGCGGCGACTTGGCTTCGAAACCGAAAGTCCAGTGATGCAATTTGAATGTACAGGCTTCCTGGGACTCATGGACTTGGCAGATTATGTCAGAAACAATCAAGATGAATTCCAGAAAATCATACTGGAGCAATCGACAAGGCCAGCAGATCAACGTTGTCCAATTGCTCGTGCTTCGTTGTCCGTCACCTGTATTCTCTACAATCACTTTGAAGTCGACAGATCAGAGATAGAAGATGTCAAAACATCCTTGCTGATAGATTCTCGCTTGAATGTTGAAAGTCTATTTCAGCCTCTACTGTTACACTGGACGCGATTGCATGTCGCTGGGCTGCATGCGTTCTTCCGTCTATGGAAAACCACGGGTGCCGAGATTGAAGATTATGACAAGATCGTGGAGCTCGTTCGTGTGCTTCTTGAATCGATCGTCGGTAGGGCGCCTCGCACCAAGGATGTGCAAGATGTGGAGGAAGACATAGTCAATTTTGACTACGGGCGTCTTCGCGAGTTACAGATGGAACTAATGGAGTTTACATACGAAGATGCTTGGGGGCAACATCTACGAAATATGCGCGGAGAGCTATACCACGAGGCCCTTCAATTTGTGAAAGAGCAGCGCATAAGATCTCTGCTTCGAGGCGGTTGGTTCCCGAACGAAGACGATTCGGACTTGGAACAGGCATCGAAAAAACCCTCCTGGCGGTATATTCAGCTATCGCATAATCGGCGATTTCTGCACTTTGGTGACTTCGAGCATCGGCGGGAAGTAAGTCCTCAAGTAGACGTTCTACCAAATAAAAGTGAGTATGGCCTTCCTAGCACTTACCCCTCGCTTTGAGCTTTATTGAACACTTACTGTATCGCTCAGTCGACCTCTCCATTGTTTCTTCCGTGGTATCCAACGTCTCGAAGTTGTCTGATGAATACTTTCCATCAGCGCTGAAGACCCGGCCCCACAACAACCCTTCTATGAAGATAACAATTCATGGCCTTCCTGATTATACAGCAAGGACGAAGGGCAGCACACAAGACGCCAGCCATCATTCTCGACAACTCAGCAAGTCTTCGCCCGGGGAGTGCATACTGCTAAACTTGCATCCACAGTCCCCCAGCCTAGCATCAGAGTGGCTCGATGGTTTACTAATGCTACTTAACCAGCAACCTATCACGGCAGAAACAAGCAAATTAATAGAACTAATCAGCGACTACGGGCTCAAAATCCGTCTATTGAACATTCGCTTCGACGACCTAGCACTCGTCAGTGAGACGCCGGGCGTCCCTTCGCGTGAAGGCCTCGACAATGATTTTTATTACGATGTCTTCGGGGGTCCTTGATGGGTTCATTTATTATATGCATTGAGCATACATATATTAAGAAGACATTACATGGTCTTCTCTCTACTAATCCATAATGCCAAGCATAATACCTACGTAGGTCTCGCATCTTTCGTAAATTTTATTTACCGAATAGCTTCTTCAAGTACTATGCCGGGTGCCTTCAGAACGTAAATGTGGGCCAGTGGCAACTTCTTATGACCGCCTTCGTTTACCTCTACCGCTTCCTCTATAGGCATGATCTGAAGCTCTTCCACGAATGCCAATCATGGGTTGTGATAAAACCGGCAGATCTCAAATTATCTGATCCATTCCCACTTTGACGTTCTCAAGGCACCTTACCGAGTACATACAAGCGGTGAGCGGGGGGACCATTGGCCCCCCCTACGCAGTCTGTAGTGTTTTGACTTTTGATGGAGTACGGGAATCCGTGCGGAAGGGCGGCAGAACGGCCAAGGAGAGCAGGCGGTCAGGATGTGAGCCGTACAAAACACCATTGCCCACACATGGAAGGGACATGTAGTAGGTTACTGTACATAGCGTTATAACCTCAGGCTACATAGAAACTTGTTCGGCTCGGCAAAACTATCCGGCCACGGTTCGGGACACAGGTTGGACCACCAATCTCCCGAAGCTCTATCGACATCCCGGAACTCAGGGTCCTATGATTCGGCCTGGCCTCGCTGACGATCCTCGCCCGCTGCAGTCATTGTATCGTCCTCATCCGTCCTCTTTCCGTTTGATCACTCGTCATGAGCCGCATCCTTCCATCCAGGCCATGGTCACGTTAGTTTCCATGGACAACGAACGGATGTACATGTACCTAGCTTAGCTACGGCAGAGGTTGTGATGAAGCTGGGGAGACCACAGCGGTGAAAACTCTGCGACGACAACCATTCTAGTCTGTTCGCTTGTCTGAGTCCTTGTCTTGCTTGATTGGGTCTTCCATCCGTCAAGCTGGAGGCGGCGTTCACCATAGCGAGGATGAAACGCAAAGCACCTTCAGATCTCTCTTTAACACAATCCACCCCACTCGATTTTTGCGACCCTGCAAAGTCCGGCCAGAAATCTCGTCCTGAGACGAATGAGTATGCGAAGACGAACATAGCAATGGAAGCACCAGGCCCATTTGACGACGTCATTGAAGATGACTATGACTCTTTTGATGAGATATTTACACAACATTTTGCAGACGATGGTACCTGTCTACGCGAGGACGTCAGAAATGTTGCCAACGATCGGGAAGGTGCTCGTCCATTTCATCAGAAGGAACTGCCCTATAGTCAAAGCTCCAACACTACCAAACGATTCGTCATCCCCCCCGTTTGTTATTCCCAACCTCGACTCTTTCGCCCGTTCAATGCAGATCATGCAGTCTTGCCGTGGGCTCAGAGATTCCCTCCAAAAGATATAAGTGAACTGGCAGTTCATAGCAGGAAGATCTCCGATGTGAAAACTTGGCTGAATAATGCATTCCGTGGGACGGGTGAACGGGTATGTAACCTGGCCATTTGTTGAATGCCTTCCTTTATCATGTTTTCGACTATGTATAACATCGAGTTCAAACTATTCATTACTGACAATGGCGGAAGTTACTTATCCTCCGTGGTCCTTCAGGAAGTGGCAAGACAACCACGGTTTCCATTCTGTCAGAGACTCTGGGGTTTGAGATAATTGAATGGAGAAATCCAGCGGCATCTGACTCTGTCACCAACTTGCCGAATTCCGTCGCCTTACAATTTGGTGATTTTCTGGAGAGGGCTAATGAGCTCCCTGGCCTCGACCTTGACCTGCCGAGCAATTTCTCCGAAGGTCAAAGGGGCGCCATAGAGGGCTTTTCGCCGCGACGGCGTTTAATACTGATTGAGGAATTCCCTTCACTAATAACGCAATCTTCTAATCTATCTCTGTTCAGGATGGCTGTTCAGCGGTACCTAGTAACGGCAGGCTCTGCTCGAGAGAAGGACATAGTGCCCTGCTCTCCAATGGTCATAATTATCTCAGAGACACTTCTCGACTCATGCTCTTCTTTTTCAGATAACATCACAGCTCATCGATTGCTAGGCCCGGCGATCTGCAATCATCCAGGAACAAGAATTATTGACTTCAATAGTATAGCTCCCACATTCATGTTCAGAGCCTTAAATTTGATCTTAGAGAAGGAAGGCCGCGTTTCTAAATCTGAACGAGCACTATCACCCGCTACAATGCGCAGCCTATCTCAGTACGGGGATATTCGAAGTGCGGCTGCCAGGCTTGAATTCATCTGCCTGAAGTCCAGTAATTTTGCCGTGATGAAGAAACCGTCTAAGGTCAGGAAAGCCTCCCGGAGAGCACCCACTCTTACTTCGGTGGAGGAACAGGCACTCGGGCTCATAACCCAACGAGAGACCACTCTGGGGTTGTTCCATGCTGTTGGGAAGGTTGTGTATAACAAGCGTGACGATCCAAGCTCTAAGAAAGATGGTCAGCTTGTTATGCCACCAAGCTACTTGCGTCAGTATGGACGGCCGAGAATATCACAGGTGCAGGTCAACGAACTATATAATGAGACCGGTACCGATACACAAACTTTCATCAGTACTTTGCATGAGAACTATGTTCCATCTTGCGATGGTGCCTCATTCACAGAGTGCCTTGACGATTGCATTAGTGCGCTTTCGGATAGCGACTTGTTGTATCCTATTTCCAAAAGGACAAATAGGTTCTTCATACATGCAACTAGAAATAGTGCTGCGGTTGAGACTTTGCGGCAGCAAGAAATCAGCTACCAAGTTGCCGCTCGTGGGCTACTATTCGCCCTTCCTTATCCAGTGTCACGAAAGAGTCCATTCAATGATGGTATTGGGACTCCAAGACATAGCCAACAACTTCTTTACCCGACTTCTTTGCGGTCACTGCATATTATGGAGGAGGTTGAAGGCCTCGTAGCTTTGTGGTCAAGCAGGCTCTTGAGCTCGATTAGTTACCCTGCCCCAGGCTCAATAGTTGAATCTACTACTCCCCTCAGCGAGAAGGAGCTGGGCACTAGCAACAATTTCATTCACGAGGGCGCTCGGAATGTAAGCCAGACAGTGACAGCAACCATGATACCGCGCAGTGACCTTATACTTCATCAATTGCCGTATATGGCATGTTTATTCAGAGGAGCCAGTGAAGGCCAGGAACTCGAGAAGATTACGAAACTCACCAGGCTCCAGCCGCAAGCGTCCAACAAAGCACGTACCTTCTTCGGTGAATTAGGGGCACCTGGTGCGAATGTCGGACTATTGGGAGAAATACCGAAAACAAGGATTCGAGGCTGGGATAACACTTTAGAGTCTCATCTACCGTCTGTGACTGATGAGAGAGAGCTTACTCTGAGTGATGATGAAATCATAGACGAAGACTGAGAACTTGTTTCAATGATCTTGTCATGCTTGGTATCCTTGCCTTGATTCAAGCGTTTGGGTCTCTTCCACATGATCTGGTGTAAAGTAAGCCCCGACTGCGAACAATAATCCTTCCGTGTATCCTCTTATCAAACTTTTGTTTACCCGAAACAGTTTCCCTTCGAATAAATAGAATAGCATTAGCTCTAATAGTACGGGTCTAGGACAAAGCTTGGCTCGAGGTCACGTATCAGTCACAGAATCATTCGTTAGGCATGATATACGGGTTGGTTCCTTTTTTCTGAATCTTGGAAGACGCTGGTGGTAAACGCTATTCCACTGTCAGTACAGTTGCGTGGTATACATATACGGGGCCTGAATATACAGCAAGATCTGTTATCCGTACTGCCCGTAATTTTATCCCTACATGCTCCCGTTCGGTCGAATTATGCTGGGAAAGCCGCTGGGGCAATCTGTTTCCTAGAGTAATTATTCTTATACATAACATTATATATAAAATTTGATATACTCGGAATCAAAGTTGGTAAAACTAGTATGGTTTATTCTCATATATGTATTACATATTACACAGCCTTGACCACCGGTAGCTTGTTCAACATAGTACTAACACTTTACTTACTCAGGTAACCTGTATTCAACCCGTCTAATCATTATATGTAAGAGGTCTAGCAATATACGGCCCAGTCCAGGTTGTTTCTACTTATTTCTAAGCACTGACTAGTCAGTGATCAGTTTGTGTATAGTAAGAATCAACATCTATATGGACAGCAAGAGCGGTAAGAGAGAGAGAGAAAAAGAGAAAGAGTAAACAAAGCAGGCCCGTATTTATTCTTATATAAACATCTTCTTGCTTAGATATAGCACGGTGGAGCTATAACTATACCACAAGAGGCTCAAGAGGAGTATATTGAGAATTACAGGGAATAGAGATAACAAAAGCGGAGCAGAAGGGGCCCTGGGCGCCCTCCAGCATTGGGAACTCAGCGCAAGTCCGAGGTCCTAGGTATTTTTTGTATGTCCAGACTACAACAACCACTGACCTACCTTGGTAATCCAGCAGAACAATCAGTGTTCGTCACCCTTGGAGGCCCTCCTAAAAGCGTGAAGCAGCTACCAACTTCTGGACTTGGAATATGTAAGTATAACTAACTAGTTGAGTTAACTAACTTAATATTAGTTAATTAACGTAGTTATCAATTCTGAGTAAGCCGGACCAAAGTAGGCTAGTCAGTTCAACTAGTAGTTAAGTGGAAGGGTCACCCTGTCTAAGTAACTTATTTTACATAGCACTTGGCTTAATGTTTGTTATATTACCGAATTGACTGACTTACAAGTACGTGCATAGCTAACTGAACCAATCAGAACAATGCCAGGGCTTTAGGAGCTAAGTTCCTGGTCCAGAGGCTGCGTGTCGGCTAGGGCTCTGGGCATTTGTTACTTACCAACCGCCTTTCTCCAACGCAATACTCCCTTGGTCTCCGGGATCAACTGCGCCGTGTTTTGTCTAAAAGGAATGGGCTGTAGACGGAATGCCGCTAATACAGATGAACAGAGATCATCCACGGGTCCACTCCAGCCTCAACCAGCAAGCATCAGATGTCGACCTCCTCACAACCAACCCACGGGAATTGGAAACTCAAAAGTGTATTGTTAGTCGCAACAACGGGAAGTATGGAGGGTTTGGAGGAGCGGAATCCGAAGACTTGCGCAGCGCTGGGAGTGGCTTGGCCACTTCAGCGCTACTGAGATGGTCGAACTTGACGTTGACGTTTTCCCTGATCTTTGGTGGTTGCTGTGCTAATGTGAGTTAATTCCAAGGCAGGAAAGCACTCTTACTGATGTCTGAACTAAAGGTCTTCGCGCTCGAGGCAATTATCAAGTAAGTTGATTGGTGTACTCGGATGCATAGAAGAAGGATATACTGACCTCCCAACCTCCTAGAGAACAGCCTAGCTCCGGTAAATAATGATTGCTCGCCCACTGTTGATATTCCGATTCGCTTCTGTACTGATAATTTTCGAGGTCCCCTGATAACGCTCGCCCAATTCCTCCTGACTGCAGTCGTCGCCGTTCCAGATTTCATTTCTCCGTCTGCCGGGTTTCGCTCCTTGTACCTTAGACCGCGTGCCATCCCTCTGAGATCCTGGGTTGTCTATACAGCTTTCTTCATCAGCGTCAACCTCTTAAACAACTGGGCATTCGCGTACAAGATATCCGTTCCCCTACATATCATCCTTAGGTCGGGAGGCCCTGTGGCGTCTATGGTCATAGGTTACATATTCAATGCTAAGCGGTACACACGGGGTCAGATGCTTTCTGTGCTCATGCTTACATTGGGCGTCGTTGCTGCGGCACTGGCAGATGCCAGAGCGAAAGGTCGATCAGTCAACGTTCAAGGCGCATCGACGGTGTCAACGATGACAGGATTTACAGTTCTTGCTGTAGCAATGGTCCTGTCTGCCTTTCAGGGCATCTACGCTGATCGACTTTACGAGGTATATGGCCGGAACCACTGGAAAGAGGCTCTCTTCTATTCTCATGTACTCTCACTGCCTCTCTTTTTGCCCACTTATCCGCAAGTCGCCACTCAATGGCGAGCATTATTCTTTTCGCATACGTCGAATGGAGCAGTTCTATATCAGAATTCTACAACAACAACAAAGGGGCACTGCAGTTCACCATTTATAGCATCGATTGCCAGCAAACTTGTCCGGCTTTCAGTACTGAAACTGGATTCTGACCCTCTGCAATTAATTCTCGCAGCAATACCAACCCGCCTGATGTACCTTATGTTAAATGCATTGACTCAATACTTGTGCATTCGTGGGGTACATCTTTTGTCTGCAAAAACGTCTTCGCTAACCGTCACTATCGTTCTGAACATTCGCAAACTCGCCTCACTCTTGTTGTCTATATATATTTTTGGAAATTCTCTCACGCCAGGAGTCATTGTCGGTGCCCTATTGGTATTTCTCGGTGGTGCCTTATATGGCTATGAAGGGGCACGTGGCAGAAGATCACATCTGAAGAAAGATTAAACTCAAATCTAATGTGTCAGATGATTTTATTGTCTAGATATCACTAGGCTCTTTTGTCCGCTTGCAATGTTTAAATCTGCTGTATTGCATCTTCGATGCATTTCTACACAATCTGATGTACCTGCAAACTGAAATTGATAGCACTAAGGAGTCTATGCTATTAGGGTTGACTTGATTAGAGACTTTGTGAGAGGAAAACATCTTAGTATACAATACAACAGTGCCACGGTATTGTTTTTCTCCTAGAGAACGGCTATGCTTGGCGATTTCAGATAGTGAACACCGTAAAAAGCAATGTCATCAAATGCTTCTTAATAGCCTGCGTCTGACCTTGCTGGATCAAACGTTCTACAAGACCTCACCCACAATCTTCGCTGCCTCCTTGTATGTGTCGAGAAGTTTTTCACACTTTTCTCTCTCCGCTTTAATTCCATCATCCTCGTATAGAAGTTCGCCAAACAGATCTTCCTTATAGAGCTCGCTAACAAGCCTATTCTGCACAACATCTTTGCTGTGATTGACCAGCAGATGCATGATGGCCTTGGGCACCTGGTCCGCGATCGTTTCCCTGACAATGTTAAAGTATGAAGAGATCAATCGGCGGATCAATTCTGTTTCCAAAATCTCACGTTCAGACAAAGAGGAATCAGAGTCATCCTTTGGCTAAGTTTTGTTGGTTAGCTGTTATTCTTTCAATATAAAAATACCAAATAGTCGACTCACAGAAATACCAACATCACTGGATTGTTCCACAGGGGTAATATAATCGTCCGGCGGCATGATCGGAGACCGCAGATCTGCCCGCCGCAAACCATGGCTGACACTGGCCTCATGGGGGCTTAAAGTCTGTCTATTTGTGTTTGAGACCTGCGGTAGCGAGGTGACTGGGTGCACGCCGTCCTTGCCAAAAAAGTAATTTAAGAATGAATCACGGGTAGTGTTCGTTGCTCCAAACGTGGCCGAGGCGTTCGAATGCGTTCCATTCAGTGTAGCTGAAATGCCGCCGTCTTGGGCTTTGCCGAGGTGAGGAGACATGCTTCTAGCACCCTGCACGGATTGGCTTCTGCTAGAGACGTTCGGTGGCTTGATTTCGGATTGCGGATTTTCGTCATCTTCCAAGGAAGCAGCGTTGTTGCCATTCAACCCCCCAAGTTCCTTGAGCCGGCGCTTTTCCCTTTTTCTTCTATCCTCTGCCAGAGCTGCTTTCCTTTCCTGCTCCTGTTTGTTTTGAATGACGGATGACATTGCTGCCGCTGCACCAAGAAAGTTGGGATGATTGGTGTTTATGTAGGCTCGTTGGATTGATATAAGGGACTCCACGTATCCTGAGCAAGGGCCCAAGCGTTCACGAAGGAGATCGGATACGACTTCAATCAATTTTGCTTGCAAACGCGGAAAACGAAGCAGCTCCTGTGAACCACATGTATGGCAGATCTTGATAAGCTCTTCATAAACGAGTTCGACGCACCTCTGACTAGGAGCTTCCAGCATCTTGATCTGAGGTTTTACAAGCAAATCAAAGGCAAGCTCCGGGACAAATAGACTCGGGCGAGGGCCAGTTGAATTTCGGATGGCCGTCCTGATATCGGAGACAGTCAGGTTGTGAGTGGGATCTATCGTTTCAAGGGAATTGCCGAAAACAGAGTTGAATATATAGTATATTCTAGCGCCACCGCAGAGTTCCTTGGTAGAGATCTCGGAGGAGGTTCCATCGATCGAAGATATGAACGATGATGCAAAGCGCGTCATCAATTGCAATATCAACGAGCCGCGGTGTTCCTTGCCGCTGAACTGCTTGTTGCCATAGCTTGCAAGCTCTTGTTGTGTTTGTCCCATGAGAGTATTAAGGCGTGCTTTGATATCAGGAAGCCGATCGCGGATGTGGGACATAAGAGTCGTGTTCAAGGTCTTTGCTAAGAATTGAGTGCCGCATCGGTTTGCCATGTTGCGATACGCAGGATGGTGTCTGAAAAAGTCCAGCTCAGCCTGCAGTGCGTCAGACAATGATTTCCCAGATTGAATATCTTGTTGAGAGCGATTGACGACGCCGATGAAGCCCAATTTCAGTGGATAGACGCGGCCAGAGAGGATATCCATGGCATTAGTGCCATGATCCATGAGGTCCAGCTTCGTCAAGACACCGATCGTCCTTCGACCCATGGGATCAACCTGTCGCGCAAGCTTTAAGGCTTCAGAGTTCACAAG